AGAGAAATTCTCTGCTATGTGGAGTACTGCACTGTAAATATTCATCTCCTTGCCAAATATGGTGTGGGGGGTGAATCGACTTATTGTGATCTAATAAACACAGGTAATACAGTAAAAAAAATCTCTTTATTGAGAAAAAAATGTTTGCAATAAATTACAGGAATCAGTACACATATACACATAAATTAATCTCAATCAGGGCTATTCTTAAAGATTTTTCTATACATAAAAAGTCTAGGAGGAAATTATCATTAAAACATTTGGTGTCTGCTCTCGCCAACGAAGAAGACCAGAAAGTCATATGCTTACTTTGTACAGATAAAATGTTATAATTCACATTTTCTGGAAAACGAAATTAAACCATTTAAGGTAACAATAACTTAAGCCTCATCGGAGCGCTTCAATTTGGTGGAAAATATTTACACGGCGTGCAAATCGTTTATGTCGCCCATAATCATCGTGGTTGAATACAACTTACGACGCATTTTTTTCACACATAAGCTGATCCAAAAACATTTCAAGGTTTGGCAGCCGACTCAGTTGGAACAGCAGTCGTCGAGGGACCCTCAGCTGCGGCCGCGGGAGCTGCCGCTGCAGGTGCAGGCGCCACAGATGCAGGCGCGGCCGGTTTGTCAACGGTGACGGGGGTGGCGGGATCAGCAGGAGTTTCCGCTAGAACCTTGTCCGCTGGGGCGGGTGCAACTGTGGGGGCAGGGACAGGGACTGGCAGGGACGTCTCCTGGGCCACGGGGGCGGGGGCGGCGGCGGGGGCAGAGGGGGCTGCGGGGCTGACCTCGACGGCGGGGGCGGCCTCCTCCAGCTTGGATGGCGCTGGGGGCGGGGCGACGCACAGGGGCAGGTCGAACGGCAGCTTGGACGGCTGGCAGCCCCGCACGGAGAAGGTGACGACGGTGTCTGGATCCACGACCCTGGGAGAAGACACATAAGTCCGAGTTAGCAGGGTAGTCATTAGTCAAACCGTAAAAAAACAAAACAAATGTGTAAAGTCGCAACTGTAAAAGGTGCTAAGGGTTTAATGCATTTAAAACATCATTAAAACTGCCAAAGGAACTTATTGGTTTTGGCACCTTTACGGATCTTGTGTGCATTTGAAGAGGCATTACACTCAATTTTTCTTTAGCACTCCTGAAAATGTTTGACTTTACACATTTGTTTTTTCAGGGCAGAGGGCGCGCAAATAAGTCACTTTCAAATCGGCCGGTGCCGGTTACTCACTTGGTGGTGGCGTACTTGACGAGGGTGCTGGTGACGGTGTAGGCGCGAAGGCCCAGCCACTGGGCCCAGCCCTCCTCGCGCTTGGGCTTCTCCGCCGGCGGGGCGGCCGTCTCTGGGGCTGCGGTGGGGGCGGCGGTCACGGGGGCGGC